TTTTTTTTTTAACACGACGAACATTTTTACGAGTGATGTGTTTCTCTTTAAAGATGATCACAGCGTTGCCAGTGCCCTCGGTGAAGGTCTTTCACAAAACTTACTACCAGGAAAAAGGATCCAGGATAGGGAGCAGTCAGCCTGGAAGTCCTTTGGCCGAGAGTGAAGCAGTGCTGGCGCTAGTTGACAAAGAACCTCCGGAATACTATTTCTGTGGAAAGGTAAGGACCATTGTATTAATAAAGACTGAATAAAACTGAACGCGTCCAAGCGGTATTTTGACATAAAATATTACTTAACTTCTTAGATTCAGTAGCCAGAAAAAATATTCACGCGCTATTGTATTTAAAGATCACGGAGGAGAAACACGAGGAGCAATTTTAAGATTCAGCAATCAATTTCAATTGATCAATTGGCGAAATTGTCCTCAACTTTGTGATCGTGATATTAAGTATAGTACATATTTTTACATCATATTCGACATTTTAGAAATATTGGAGATTAAATACACGCAAGTTCTTTCGTAGTTACTGTATATTTCTGAATATTCTTTTTAAAGGGAATCCAAAGGATCTTTTTACAATTGCAACTAAAAATTAAATGAAGAAAATTAATAATATTCCGAATAGTAATATTTATTAAGGGCCTAAGCATAAATAGAAATCCATCTCAATCGCGTTGAGAGGTTAATTCGGTATCTGCTGCATGTGATTGACACAGTTCAGTTGCTTTTAATGTTTCAAAAGTATAAAACAATATAGAGCAAAAATATCAGAATTCTCTGCGAACAATTAGGATGGAAATGAGGACAAAAACGATAATCACTGTGATTGATTCTTTGAAATGAAAAAATTGTTTTTAATCTCTGACGACAGATGCAATTGCACAACAAGTTTTCTTTACAAGAAAAAGATACTCATTATTTTGTTACATCTAAAATTACTAAAAAAACAACACTAACAGATAAAGTAAAGCAGAGTCCAACATATACAAAGTATAACACTGAAATTTTCTACATCGGAGAATGTAGAATGCGATGCACACTTGTATGTGTAATCAACTTTGAAATTACGAAAATAGAATGGAAACGAAAGTCGAAGCGAAAAGCCGAGATTGCGGGGGCGTACACTCACGCTTTCCCTCGGAAATCTTTTAAATACCATTGCTAATTAACTTTATTCGCTTCTCTGTCAAACACCGTTTTCCAAGGCTCACGTTCTACCGCCGTCGACAAAAAGTTCTCAATCTACTCGAGTGCTCTCACGATGGTCGAACGTGTTCAAGAAACGATCGCTAATACTTCTACCACTGCTGATGCAACGTTTCATCTCTCAATCCGAATGCTCTTTACTTTCCCAGAGTCTAAGATGTTACGTACGTAACGCAATACGATCTCGTTTCTTTTACATTTTTTAAGAGAAGCTGCGCACCTCTTGAAGCGTATATCCAGCAGCAGAAGCAAATAAATACCTTTCCGTTTCGTTCTGAAACGAATAAGTTACGCTGAAATTACTGATTCCTGCGAATGAATATTATTCTGGGGAGAATGCATATATACAGGGTGATTCACGTAACTCGCACGCCTGAAATGACTTTTAAATCGTAAAAAATATATATATATTTTTTTTTTTTTACTTGGAATTTAATATTCTTTCGATTTATAACGAAAAAAATGTATGATAATAAAAATGAACCTTGAAAACTTCGAAACTCCTCGACACATACAAAAGATCGATATACGCCGTATTTTGCCTCTCTTAAAACCACACAACTTTTGTGTTGAACAATTTTTCATTTGGACACGTAATCTAAAAGTTACCTCAGGTGCGCAAGTTACGTGAATCACCCTGTATGTAAGAGTTAAATCATTCGTTATAATTTAACGCGTGGGTGTTTCTATTGGACGTTAAAATCACGAAATGAATACGTTCGTAATATTAGATAGCTGCATTTTTTATAGGACAGTAACAAATTTTTATGGATCATTGCATTTTATTTCAAAATATTTATCACTTTTGTATTTTATTATTTAATCACGGTGACTCTAATTGCTAGCAAATGCATACTTACTTAGTCTGTATAACGTATCTGTATAAAATTTAAAATTAGATTAAAATCTTTCTAAAGTCCCTTTTGATTGGTAATAAAACATCTTTTGTTACATACTTTTTTCCACGAAAAATCGTGTCAGTAATTAAAACAATTGACTCCTTTCACACGGCAAGCACATACATTTGCAATCGTAAAGGACAATGCCGAGAACTTTTGATTAAAAATCACAGATCAGAAGTCTGTGTGATTAAAAATAAATGAAACGCATCTACGTTTATCCACGTCGTTTAATCAACAAACACCGTACTTTCGCGCAGCATTTTCCAGTGATCTACGTTAATGTAAAAATCTCCATTTAAATTCACTGGATGGGTGAGGGGGGTTCAACTTCACGGAACCGCGCAACTTTCAAATAATTTCATAGTTGCGAAACGGGACTGCCAGCGATTTCGTGTTCGGGTGAATACCGATGTCGTGAAAAATTGTGTCACATTCTGCATCGATTTCCGTGTCTGCGTCGGCCTCTCCTCATAAATAGAATTTCCAAAGTGAGTTTCGATTGAGAAATCCACGGCGGACATGATCCGCGTGCGAATGCGTGAATTGAAGGCGCGCTGGTAACAAGAAGAAAAAATCCTGCGACGCGAGGGGGGGGGGACTTCGTCGGGGGAACAAGGAAAAGCAGGTTCGCGCTTCGCTTATGAATTTCAAATGATTTCTACTTGAGATTTCAAAGGCAAATTACCCGCGAGCGCGAAACTTTCTGCGTATTCGGCGCGATTTACATTTTTTATTGCCGCCAAGAAACTGGGTCGAGATTGGTATTATCAACGAAAATTAAGAAAAAGAAAGGCCGCAGGCGTAGCAGAACTCCCCCCGTCCGTTTAGATACGTGAGATTAAATTCTGATGTGTGAGGTATCTGTCGAATTAATGTGAAACCAATGCTAGCGACGTTAGTTTTGTGAAGCATGAATTGATTGAAATTGAAAATATCTATCAAGGAAAGAAAATAATTTTTTTGATCTCATCGAAATCTAAACGATAAAGTTCCTCAGAGGACAGGACGTTTTCTGTGAAAATATTTATCTGGCTTACATTATAAGATTTTAAATTGATATATTAATTGGAAAAGTACGATTTATCGTCTGACGAATCCTTGAGAAACGCAGTAATAGAAAAGTGTCGCTTTCGACTCTCAGCTTTGAAACATTCGATATCTCGATTACTCGATAATGATTAAAAAAAAAAAGAAAAATCGGTATCACTTGTACGAAGAAAACAAGAGGAATCTAATTTAATACACTATACGCTCGCAAGGTCCGTTAATTTCTATCAGACTTCGAAAGGTGAAGGTTTAAAACAACAAGTTAATCGAAGCATAAACTATGATCATGAAATTTTTATTTTAGAGTTTAATTTTCGTTTTATCTGAAATTAACATATAAATCTCCACTGCTAAGAAATTAAAGAAATAACAGCGACACGCACGTATAGGAAGAAACGTTGCAAAATTACGACCCTTATTTTATCTTTCCTCCTATAAAAATTTATTCTAAAGAAATCATAAAATTTTGAAGAAGACATGCCTTTATAAGCCTTTAAAATTTTACGATTCGTAACACCTGACATTTCGCTGAATTTGACCACCCACATATTCTTCTTCCGAAAATTTTATCATTTTAATTCACGTCTTAAATTGCGAAAATTGTTGAATTTTTCAAGGAAATATCTTCACGTTTATCGACCCGAAATAACCTTGCACGTTTTGTTATAAAACTTCCCAGATAGCCACTGGAACTCCAATCTAAAGTTATGCATCACTCATTTATCAGATATTAATAAAACCCTTTATCAGGGGTTTAGAGAGAGTTTCAATCGAAAATTCATTCCCAATTAGGTTTCCAACCGCGAGTAATTTCATTTCAACAGCGATTCTCCGACTGACATCTTCCCAGAAATATCAATCCGACTTGGTATCTCGCGATACCAAGTGTACGAGTACCAAGAACGTAATTTTATGAACCACGCAGTTTTTTTCTTTTCTTTTCTTTTCTCGACTTGAATTTCACCGTGGATCAAGGGGAAAAAGAATAATTTCCTAAGGAAATTCACCTTTCAATCGAACGAGAGAATTTCGTGTTGATTTTGTAGCCACAGCCATCGGCGGACGATAACTCGATTAAATCGGCCGTGCCAAAATGAAAATCTCCGGCGGAATCGTGACGAATTAATCGTGATTTTTTCCTTTGCATAATTGTTCGCTGGATAAGTGGACGCGGCAGGATTTCTTCGCGGCGGTGTAACGAATTACACGAATGAGGTGGGAAAGGGGAGGATGGAAGGGAGATAGAAATGGAATATTTTCTCGGCGCGCGGGAAATGACGTCATTGAGAACTCGTGGGCGTTCTGCTGAAGCGGCGTGTAACTTCTTGTACGTACGATAAAGCGTACTGTTAGAGCCGCGTTTGAAATTTATTTTCGCTTTTCCACCTCTCACTTCGCACATCCTCCCGTGGCAATTTTTATGAAAAACATGCTTCCCCGACGATCGACACTAAATTTAGTTGCCATTTTTTTTTTTTTTTTTTTTTTATACCTAATGATCAGCATCTTCTTCTTCTTCTTCTTTTTCTTCGTTAATACGTGCTTCGAGATAATAATAAGATGGTGTAACTATTTTTATCGACGATATAGGTTTTGCCTGTGTATACAGTGTCTGTTATTTTTGTTATTTCGATTGGTGGAAATGAAAGTGTTCGATTACTGAGAGAATCAGGAACTGATTGAGGATTGTTAAAAATCCTAGAGGAAAGAAATTCGTTGTAAAATTGTTATATGGGAAGGGAATTTAGAGTGTTATGAAATCGTGAAATTTTGAGTCACGTGATCAAAGTGTTATTTCAATTCCTTGGATTAATTAATCGACAAATTTCACGACGAATAGAATTACATGTTTTGTACTCTAAAAGCTAAAGTGATACGAATAGTTTAAACCTCACCTACCCAAATAGGAGAAACATCGAGTTTTTAGTGTTTCGCTAGATAACATTGCGTGCCGGTGAGCTAAATCTAAATCCGCTAGCAAATGATGCAATTTGAGGGATTAATTAAAATGTTTAAGGTAGAGCCTTGAAACTCTATATTACAGAACGAGATACAGAGAGGAAACACGAGGTACGAATTTTCGCGCTTTCGATGTTAGAAATCGTTCTCCTTGAAAATTTCAGAACGCAATACTATAATAATTTCGGAAATTCAGCGAGATGTTTCCAAATGATATCACCAAATTTATTGATATTTCGCGACCAGAGTGATCGAGATAATTCCGAAAAATAGGAGGAAAAATAATTATAATAAAAAAAATTTCACTTGGAGGATAAAGAATAGCTGATATCTCTATAATCAGGATTTAAAGGTTAAAGCATAATAAAGCACTCTGAGGTCTTTTATTTATCTCTCGTCCAGAACCGTCCCGCTCTTCGTCGTCCAAACGTCGAATAGATGCATTCAACCTAAACAGATTATTCTACAACCTTTTAATCATTTTCCTTGTTTGTCACGATTTTCATAAAAAGAGAACATTAAATATGCGCGTTATCTACCCGATTATCCGATTGTGATTCAACCGATAATGATCTTTTCGAAGATGGCGCCTCGTCTCGAAGTTTTGCTCGTTGTTTCGCTTAATTATTCCGTTGCGATGGTATTTCAAGAATTGTATTTTCTAATTGAGTGGATTCGCTTCTGCGCAACGCGCACAGAGAACAATGTTTGCCTTCGCGTAACACCGTACATAAAGGAAGGTTCTCTGACAAAAGAGAAGCCTTCGAAGTTGAGCCTCGCGTTTCAGCAAATTTGTAACTAGCTGGCGGTAGCAGGCGCAACATTAAATAAACTATCTTCTGAATAATGAAATACGTTGTGGAGTACATTTCTCAAAGCAGCATCCACGAAGAAAGGAATTCCCCACAAACAGAATGCGTGCTTCTAGTCTGGAATACAAGAGTCACTGTCATCTCGTCCCAAATGAAAGATAAATATTAAATCGGCAAACCTGAGAGGCAGAAGATAAAGTAACCGAAAGAAAAAGAAAAAAAATTATCATAACACCAAGGTCACTGAAACAAAAGAATATGAGAACGTAGAAGGATAAATTTCCAATTTTCGTAATTAATCTTAATCCAAATTTAATTAGTTCTTAATCTCTCTTTTTGAAAAGAGAATAGAATTCTAATTCTTATTTCACTTTTTATTTCGTTTCTTTAACAAGGCTCATCTGGAATGATCCGATAAACAGCGTAAACTGTAAACTGTGACGTGAAGCTGATTATTGATTGAGGTTTTTTTTTCCCAATGTTTTCGAAGGTTAATTCTTTGCACGTGGTGGTTGGATCATTGCTGTTGGGTGCAGTGGTGTTGGTGGTAGGCCTGGTGCAGCTCGCACCTGGGGCAGAAGCTGCACAAAACTCGACCGCCCTTATCGTCGTTGGATGCAGCCTGCTGGTGATTGGTGTGTTCCTCGCGCCTCTCAGAGCTTTGTGCATCAAGAAACAAAAGGCTGCACAGAAGGACGGGACGCATCAAAGAAGTGTCACCAGCATAGACATGCTATTAGCTCAACACAGGTGGGTACATATATCATGTTTCGCAATTAAAACAGCACGGATGACGGCATAGGTATTACGATCGGCTTGTTAAGTTATTTCTGGGATTTTTATTACCTGTCTTTCGCATTCGACAGATAATCAATCAGTGAGAAACACGGAGTTTATTGACTGTTAATATTCAATTTGTGGACAATAAATGTAAATAGAATTTATATACGATACGAATTTTAATATTTTTAGTATACGCTATTGTATAGATAAATGAATTATGCGATGAAAGGAAAAAAAAAATCTGTTCGAAGGAAAATGAAATGCATCAATAACACGGGCGAAATTTTCTCACCAACAGAGACTTCACGGTGCTGACGCCGGACGAACTGGAGGACCTCGTCGGCCGGCCAACCTCCGCCCTGGAGAATAAAATCCGCAAGCAGGGCCACAATACCTAGGTGTTGTCGGCCTCGAGGAAGGCCCATTCATCGTCACCACCGTGCTCGAACACACCATCGTCATCGACGTCGCCAGGAACTAGCTCATCCATTCTCTACACGCATCGTTACGACTCTCGTGAACATAGTCTGGTTTAAGCAACAAACGAAACGTAAAAAAAAGAAAAAAAGAAAAAAAAAGTGGCAGAAGAAAAGACGAGAAAAAGACGAGGAAGAAGGAAAGACTGGCGTGTACAGTCAGCTTGACTTCTTTTTTTTTTTTTTTTTTAGTCAGAATCAATCGATTTTTCGACTATTGTGCACGCAGCGAACAGCTGTTTCTTTCTACGAAGGTTGCACACGCCTGCCTTTAGCTTGGCGCAAGCGGTAAATACCCTAAATCCAAAGGCGATCGAGTGAAATGTCACGGACACAAAAGAACGGATTACGTTTCTCTTTCAGTTGATAAGCACTCGCGATAGACTCTCGCCTACAAAGTCAGTATGTATGCAGTACGTTCGTGTTCTTACCGATTGATTGACCGATTGATTGTCGCTTCGTTCAATTGTTCGAACAATTGTTCCGGATATAGTAATATGCCTGAGATAATCGCTGAAAAATCGACTTGTGAATCGAAGGAAATTCGACGACAATGATTAAGGAAGATATCGACTGAGCACGTTGAAATCTCTCGAGCTACGAAGGAAACTACGAAAGGACAATGATAACGATGACAAAGGTAGTCGATTGGACTGACGATCTTTCCCAATCGTGAAAACATTCTCTTCGCAAATCGATTGGACGAATCAGAATCGTTTGCAACGAGTCTCGTTAACGAGAAGTGCAGGA